TGCTGGCTGGAGCAGCAGGCTGGTGGCTGCTTTATCACTTATCAGTGGTTTGGCTTTGTGAATGAGAAATCCAGAGGCAACTGTATAATTTTAAATTCCGATTACCACAGAGGAAGAGATGCATCTGACATCCCAATGCAGTAAGTTTTGACTATTTTAATGAAAATATGTTGGAACCGGGGAAGCCTTCCTCCAAGGAAAAAATGATGAAAGACTGCAAGAGAGACATTTTATCTTTGAGATGAAAGACTTGTTTTCTAAGGTTATTTCTTTCATTAGAACTGTCCCCTCACCTGCTTGCTACTGGTAGGCCATGCCAATGTGTCATTCAAGGAGCTGATTATCATCTTGTCTTTGTACCTAAGACTCTTTAAGGTGTGTAGTGTCAGGAAGGACATCAGGTCTTGTTTACAACTTACATAAACAAGACTTTTTTTTTTCATTTTATTGATCCTTAAAAAAGGATCAGGTGCCTAAAATGGATCAATTCAACACTTTGGCCCAAGCATTATGCTACCTTTTGTTTTTAATGAATAAAACCAGGATACCCTCATTGCTCTGCCAACCTGATCCTTATGATGTATTCATATGGAAGGTAGAGGGCTTTCCTGTCATGATGTAGATTAAGGACCAAAAATGGTGGATCTTCTCATTGAAATGTATCCTGCCTCTCCAAGATAAACACACCCATCCTCCAAGCTTCATTTATTATGATTTGGAGTTAACATACTAAGTACAAAGCCACTATCAGCAAAAGGGCCAGATCTATAGTAGGAATCTGTCTTACTGCACAGAAGCAGAGAGATATGTGCGTATGAAACATGCCTCCCCCCTTTTGTATTCTCTCCACTCCAAGGAGCAAAGAAAAGACCCAAATTCCTAAGAGCAAAAGTAAACTGCCATTCATCTGGTCAGTCCTAGAAATGGCTCTGTGGAAAGGATGTCAGCAGTTACTTATTTCTTCATTTCTAAAGGTGTTGCTGTTTTTCATCCTTTCTGTTACTCAGCAGTATAACATGGGGCTGTAGGAATACAGGCTACACTGGAGGTTTAGGTAACCAAGGTCATATAAGGTCAAAACTATTCTCTGGAGGACCTAGATGTGGAAGTCTCTGTAGCACATGGCAGGATGCAGTATTCCTGGGTGCAGATAGACTCAAGAATTAGACTGTGATTCAAGATCACTCTCCTCAGCTCACTTCTGGTTAAACATTGCTCACCAGAGAAACACCTATCAAAGCTCCTCTGGAAAGAGTGACAGCAATGGGAGCACATCTTGCTTGTTCACAAGCTTCGTTTCATTCCACTTCCTCAGTTACCCCAGTCCTCTGATCTGCTTCTCTCTTGGTTACGTTCTTCTTCTTCTTCAAATACTTAGTCAAGTTTTATATTCTCAAGCCCCCAGGGAAACACAGGCTACTCCCTGTTCCTAAAGAAACCCACTTTCTGTTCCACTATGTGTAACACATTCCACAAATGACCTGTAGCTCAGGGGTCAGCAAATGCTTTTTATGAAGGGCTATGTAACCATAATGGTTTGCTGGCCATGCAGTCAACTGTTGGGGAATACAGTGTCATGGCTCATGTGCGACATGTAAATGTCCCTGGCCATGGAATCAGGCTTCATCTCCATGTCATAGTTTATTGACCCTTTCCATAGTGTCAACCCTCAAGTAATCTTTGGTTTGTAGATGTGCAATAATGTTTATCTATAGAGAGAATAATCCAAAGGAAGCTAAAATCCAAGTATGTAAGTGCTGTCCCTTAGTCACTTAACCATTATGGAGCCACACATCACATTTCTATCTAGACAGATGCCACCATGGAACATTTCAACATGTCTGACATTTTGAAGTAGTCCCTCCCAATGGAACTCTTGTGGTTTATGGAATGGACATGCCAAACAAAAGTAAGTGATAAATATATCTGGTGATCAGATTTTCATTTGTAAAATGTTTTCTGAAGTACAATAGCATTACCAGTAGCATACCAGATGTTCTAGAAGGTTGAAGGTTCATTTGAATCATGTTATTCTACCAGCTGCTTAATAGACCTGGAGACGTGATTGTCTAGAAGATACTATATATAAAGACCAGAAAGACTCTTTTTTTTTTTTTTAAAGTAGGGGTTAGCAGACATTAATATAAATGCTGGTTCTATTCTCCCCCAACCCCACCCCAAGAATTCTGGTGAAAGTTTCTTTTGTGACTATGGACAAATGTTCTTGTTGGAGAGCATTGGATGGGCAGGTGTACGAAGTTCATTGACTAAGGATGCGTTTTACCAGTTGCTAGTCTGAATTGAAATACATAATCTTACTCATGCCAGAGATCCTGTTTATTACCTGAAGGCCTGTGTGGTCCTTTAACATAATTGAAGAGCAGAGTTAACCACAATTTTGTATTGTGTATTCCTCTAGAGATTCTTGATTTATAGCCCCAATTGATATTATTTTTATTGGGTGTTTGTGTGTGAATCAAGATCATGCTTGATTTACTTGCTTGCTCTAGGGTTCAACTTTGCATGGGTGACCACAACAGTTTTTAATTGTCATAAAATTCATGAGGAGCATGACTTTTATGTCACAATTGGTAAATAACATCAGAAGAGGTTCAGGGAACTTTGTTATTTCTTCTTATCTATAGATGATAGGTGTGAGATGCAAAGGCAGTTTGTCTGTTTATACAAAACACCCCTCCACCTGCCTCAAACAACCCTGTTTTCTTTATGAACTCAAGGGATTTCAGAGTTATTGTTTATTTGAATGATGTGGGGTATATATTTCTAATAGCTAAGAAGGGCTTTTTTTGTGACTTGAAATGATACCCATGTATTGTGAAACATGTAGATCCTGACAGAAAGGGCCTACAAGATACCAGTAACAACAAGTGTCCAGTAACCTGAGGCCTCTCACAGGATTCCCTTTTAGAGTTCAATACTGCAAATGCAGCAATTTTAAGGATCTTGCCATAAGATTGACCCACTCAGTGCCTCTGCATAAGATATGCAGAGAGGGTGAGGGGACCAGGCCTGGTCTAGAAGCCAGAAGTCCAAGTCATGAATCAGGATGGGAAAGTCCCTTCTTTGTGACAATAAGCAACTGAGTAGTACATCCCATGTGTACAAACCTTAGACTGATACTTGTGTGTCATATCAGAAATAGCAAACTTCTTTTTGTCTCCTATAATAAACCATTCATCTTGTGGAGTAAGAAAAATTAGAACCTTGTGGTGAACAAAAACAAATGCCATTCAGGCCTACAAATACAACTTCATTCAAAACTGTAGGGTCGTCGCTTATCTTCCGGCTTCAAGGATGTTCTAAGCCAGTTACACCTCCATTCTGGGCTCTTCAGATCCCACATGTGGAAACTGGTTTGTCTACCAGTTTCTGATATCCAGTCATGACTAAACCATTTTCCTCCAACCACCCAAAATAAACTACAGGTAACAAGATAAATAGGATGTGCTTCTCCTTGCTGAGTGCATTGGCTTAAGGCATAGGCACATTTCCCCCTCTTTGAACAGAGATGGTATAATCCCCTGTCCCAGCACAAGAGCTGGCCAGGGTGACCCTGGGGCATGGTAATGAAAGTGGGATGCTAAGAGGTAGCTGATGGCGGGAATTAGAGAGCTATTTTTATATATGGGGAGTGGGTGCTGCTGAGCCCAGGGGACACAGTGATTCTGATGCAGACACATGACCCTGTTTATATTAACTTGCCATTAGCAACTCTGGCAGCATGTAGAGTCTTTGATTTGTGACTCCTAGAGAAAATGCAACAGTGAGTTCAGGAATATGAATTGCCCAGCACTGACCAAATATATATAAGAGCAAAGCAAGAGAGATTGTGCAAGCCCTTGAAAAAATGACATGTCTCTAAATGGCTTACTCATCTCAAGAAACTTGTCAGAATTAGCTAGCTTCCCTATGTTTTTTTAAGTTAGATTTCCATTTTAAAATTATTTCTCTTGGGATCTGGGGCTCATTCTTTGGGATTCTGATTGATTTAATGATTTTGAGTCCATCTGTTGGATAAAGTCAGGAAGGAGAACCTGAAAGCTTGTGAGACAGTTTTCTCTTAAAAGAGATGTCTCGTTCATCTTCTTTGCTTGTAAGGCCATTGAATGGATCCTACCCTAGAGAGGAAGAACTGGTCGCCTCTTCTATGCTGATTTTAAAGCTCTTACTCATTGACCATGGGCAAATACAGAAGTTTAAAGGAAGTTGAATAATAGAAGTTAGGTGAGTGGCTTAAGTTCTTTCAGAATTCAATGCTACCCACCCCCATTCATTTAGTCACACAACTCCTAGTATGTTGGTCTGCAAAGGTAGGGTGGTCACTTTGAGTTCTTATGGCTAATTTCAATGGTTTTCCCTCATCCTTATCTTAAAGAGAAAAATATAACCAGATTGGCTGAAGCTAAGAAAGGGAAACCAAATGTCTATGTTTTTAATATAGACTCACTTTGTAGCCCAGGCTGGCCTCTGTCTCCCACAGCTTCCTTGGTATTGGGATTACAGACGGGTCTGTTTTCTTTTTGACCAGTATATCAGCACTTGAGAGTGACCTGAAAATTCCCGCCATCATGGCCTCTCATGACTCTACAAAAGAAGCTAGGTGATTTCTTGAACACATTGATGGATATTTTGTGGGTGCTCAATCCACTGTGTGATTTGAAATTGCCTGGGGAATGCTGGGCCTGAATGAGTGCTTATATTCTGTCATGTGGATGATAGGAATGAGGCAGAAAAATGACAGTGGATGATGTCACAGGGTCACCCATGGTTCCTTTTGTACTGAAACCTCATTTTATACAGAGGATATATATATTTATTTATATATATTTATATATATTTATATTCACTCACACACAACCCACTCATACATACTCATGTACACACACACACACACACACACACACACACACACATACACACACACACAAAGGGCTTTGATAGGCTTTCTGTGTTCTAGTAAAAATAGCTGGCAGCCAGTGTCTCAAGCCAAAAAGGGCCTTTATGCTGCCGACAGTTGTCCACTATGGATAGTCTTTCAAAGGCAGACACTTGTGTTTATCTGACAAGTAGAACCAGTTCCTGCCTGGGACAGGAATAACCTCCCATTGGCACAGACGCAGACCTCGAAGACCTTCTGCCTCGTTCCTGTGGGCGTGTAGGATCCACGAGGCAGTCTAGGTAGTTTGATTTTCGCAGCATCTAACTTAATCTAGAGAGAGTGAATAGGAAAGAAAGAGTCAGTCAGGGGCTGCTATCTGAGTTCATGACACTCAGAAAGCTGACTATTCCATTAAATTTAAGCCTCGAAAGTACCTACTGTGTGCTGAGCAATGTTGACAGTGGAGATTAGACACTCTAGCCTCACACAAGCCTATATTCTAGCAATATTAGATAGCAGCATTTTTCAAAGTGTGATATGTAGACTAAGAAGAGTGTCATAGAGTCAAATAAATGTAGGAATGAAACATTAGTTTTCATTACTTCAGGACACTGCATGTCCATGGCTAGTATGAAGCTTCCAGAAGACAGTAGAATATATAGCATTATCCATGATTGAAAAAGTTAGTGAGCCTTCCTCTTGCTTTCTTTTTTTTAATGGTGGCACTAATATTCAACAGAATACACATTCAGATATATCATATATATATGTATATATGTATAGGTACATGTACATATATACATATATGTACATGTACATATATATACATATATATATGATAAGCTGTGGTGAAAGGTGTCATTAGGTTTTTGATGATAACTGCCTCCTCCAGAGGTCAAGTCTGAGTGGCTGTGAGCTGCCTAGATGAGGTAGCTTCTGTTTTTATGAGTGTGGCTGGCAGTTCCTGGTGATTTGAAGAGGCAGTTGTTATAATGGAAGGCTCTATCAGACAAATTCTTTTAAAACAAAAAAGCCAATGTCGACCAAACATTTTTTTTTTTTAATATTCTCTGAGTGGCTATAATGATGCAGGGTGAGCCAGATGCCTGCTAAGCAGGTAGGCAAGGTGGAATAGCATTTTATCTTAAAAAGGCAGGTTGTCACTTTATTTTCATTCTTAAATAAAACAGTTAACCTGTGAACACTTGAAGAGTCTCTTCATAGTCTACAGCCAAATCATGCCTCCTGCCTCTAGGAGAACTTAGCTTAACTTGTCTATGAAATTACAAGTGGCGTTTGTGCTCAATGACTTGGTTGTGTTGGAATGTAATGTTAAGAACACATTACTCTTTGGCCATCTACTTGGACCCTGTTAGTTTCTGGCTCGTTCTGACTCAGGGTAGCTCTAAACTTGACACTCAATTCTTAAAGAGAACCCAGTTCACAACCTAAAATAATTTCATGTGTATTAAGTTCATTTCAGCCACGTGGGTGTGTTATACAACTTAATTATGTAGGTGAACTAAATCTGATTTTAAGGCTATGGGAGAGAGAAAATTTGGAAATAGTGTTCATTTTCATAGTCATGTAATGTTGTACTTGTGATACATACACAGTGTTATCCCAGCACTTCACAAATAACTAATCATAACATTTATGTATTATGGGTTTAACTCATAATCATTATGTTCAACTCTCTTATGGGATCCTTGTGTTCATATTAATTTCAGTGCTAACCAGCCTAGGGGAAAGGTAGTTCCTTGGATAAGTTAACTCCCAATTTCTGTCTTTCCTCCTCCTTACCTCTCCATCCTTGGACTCCAGTCTCAGCTCACTTCTGCAGGTGGCTTCCATATTGCCAGCTTCTGCATTTATTTCTACTCCTTTAGGGGCTTCCATCACTAGAGATCGGGTTGGGGACTCCAACCTGAAACACAAGCCACAGATTAAAAATCTTATTCCCTGCTTAGAAATTTTAAGAAGCTAAAGCTCAGGGCATTAAAGAAGCTATGAAGAAATTAGGTAAAAAATGTAGTACTTCATCTAATTTTTTGTAGATTTTCTTTACAGGCAAACAAGTCTGTAACAGAGTGCAAGGATTCTAGGCTTTATCTTTTCTATATTTTACAAAAGTTATAAGGAAGGTATTCTAGAATCATGGCTTCATATTATCTTATACTGAATTGATGATTTTATTTTCTTATTAGTAAAATTTACCAAATTCTTCCCTGTATCTCTCCTTCCTTGTGATTATTGTTATTTTTTTTTAATTAAGAGGATTTTAGCACTCAGCTTTCTAGAACGTTTCCACTGTGTCCTACTATCTGGATATTTTGAAGGCACACAATCAGACCAAAGTTAAGAAAACAGACATAGGAGGATGGAGAAATGGCCTAGTGGTTCAGAATGCTTGTTGCTTTTGCAGGTCTGAGGATGAGGTTTCAGTACTTCAGCTCCAGGGTCTTTGATGTCCTTGGTTATCCTTCATCATCTGCACACATGTGCATAGACCTCCCCACCTGCTACCATATGCACATATAGCTAAGAATAACAAGTATATCACTTAAAATAAGAAAATAGATCTAAGAGTCAGACAGTTTTATCATCAAGACATGAGGTGTCCCCTTTATTATGCAGGTTAACATTATGATTTAATTTGTGATCACTTGCTTAAGAGATCTATAAAACAAAACTTCCTCTAACCTGTAAGCCCTACTTGATCAAGGTAAGATAACTTCCTAGAATGCTGGGGACTGTTGGTTCATGTAAGATAACAAGCTATATGTCGGACTTTTGTAAACAAGCTTGGTTACACCGCTTGCACAGGATGTGTGCTTGATCACATGTAAGCAGGAAGTACGTCGGGATGTGTGTTTGCCTCTGATTGCACAAGGGCAGGAAGTACAAGCCTTGTTGTTTGTCTTTATAATCCCCTGACAAATGTGATTTGGTTCCACAGTCTGAACATGAATGAGTCTTAGGAATGCACCTGGCCAGTATTCATGGTCCTAGCCAGTATTTAATAAAACCTCTTATGTATTAATATTTATTCCCGGTCAGTTTCTGACCATATGAATTCCTAATTGACTGGTCAATTTCTGAATGATTTCAGACCCATAACATAACAACCGGTAAGTCTTTCTTCTTTCACTCTCTAAATTTTCTCAAAGCCTCACTTTCGTTATTTATAAAATTCAAGTCAGGCCTGGCACATTAGAAATGTGACTTGGTCTAAAATATTACGAATGTGTGTGGAATATTACTTACCTGAAATTCTTGGAAACCAAATGTATGTTTCTGATTTTGGAAATTTCTAGAGTTAAGAAGACCTTACTGGAGCATTCCTCATCTGAAAAATCCAAATGCTCCAATTTATGACATCTTGGTGGCACTATAATTTTTTTTTTTTAAATTGGGAGCATTTTGAGTCTTTTAAATTAGGAACTGTGACACTGTTCTGGGGTTGGCATTGTTATTATACTAGCAAAAATGAAGTCTTAAGCCTAACCTTGTGATGTAGATTTAGAACAAACCAAGAGTCGCCTGAGTCTAGGAGGGGAACTTGTTGGGACATGAGGAGGGGCTGTTTTGTATTGTGGAACTCCGATATCTATCTTGATTGCAATGTGGTACTTATTCCATATCTCTATGCATTTTTGAAAATGCAAAAGATAGTGAGTCAATTTCACTGACTGTAAGAAAAATCAGCCTTGCTCTATGCTAATTATAATGGCAAAACAGGGGATGGTATGCCTTTAAAAGTTTTTTGTTTGTTTGTTTGTCTTACTAAGGCACTCTAATGAGGAAAAGCTCAGTTATCCCCATGAATATTATAGATCTGAACAGTGTTATCAGCTAGGGATTCGTGAATGTCTTCCTACAGAGAAAGCAGTTCAACCAAAGAGTAGGACTCAGCAGTGGATCTAGAACTGCCTTTCTCCTTCAGGTCCATTTCTCTGCTTAACTTTTCCAACTTTCCTGTATCTTGAATGGATTGAAAATCAGCATCATCCTTTTTGCCCACTGCTGGCTGCCTGTTCTATTTCACTACTCCATTCATGGGCAGAGCAACCCCTTTAGTGCCTCAGGAACAAAACAGCCACAAGGGCACACTCACTTGTGAGTTAGCACCACTGAGCAATCTCATCATATCAAGACAGGCACCAGGAGGGCTCCTCCACCCTCCCTGTTCTCAATGGCTTCTGGGAAGCAGCCTTGTCCTTGAAGGTTTTCTACCAGAACTACAAGAGGAGCAACAGGCTCACCTTACTTCCACAGAAAATGCCTTCCTTTCTACTTATTTAGTTCATTCTTTCTTTACTTGTTTCACTCTCCTGTGTATGGCAACAATCCCTGCAAGCCCTAGTCTCTTCAAAAGACCTACACTAAGGTTGCCCAAGTCAGGTGTGTTTCTGCCTGTTATTATGCCTTACTTCATTTGCATAAGGCTTTTTTAATGGCTTGCGAATAATAACAGTGTAATGTGGATGAAGTTCTCTTACCAGTGCAATAGGAAGTGACGTCCATGCAGGGGTATCAAGCTAAGACTTTCATCTGACCTGTGAGCTTGTCCCAGGCTGCTGATCTCTTACTTCTGATACAGGCAGATAGTTTGGAACCATTTTCTCTTTTTTCTTTTTCTCCTATACAGTCTGACTGACTTAGGTAGACATTTCTTTCTCAGGGAAGTTTCAAAAAGAAAGCTTCAGTATTCCCAGGAGCTTATCTGTCTGTGAAGTCCAGTAAGGTGAAGGAAACACCTGAGACAAATGATTATAGAAGGTACAGTAGTCTGGGTAAGTGCGGAGCTAGATAACAAAAGAGAGGAAGTGTATTAAACAGCTGAGTTAACTTGTGAAATGAGAGGAAGCAGAGATGGAAAAAAGAATGAAGAAAAAGAGGATAGCCCAAGATCTTTAGCCTGGGAATGGTGCAAGTCAATAACATCACCATTGATGAGCTAGGCAGGAATCAGTGTTAAAATAGTGCAAAGGCATGATGTAGAAAGAAAAGGACTCATATTAACGGAAACAAAGATGAAAGCACACTCCAGACAATCTGCCTAGGTAAGCCAGACTGAATAGTCAAAGAAGATAAAATAAGAAGATGATCCCAAGCTCTCTGCCTGTTTCAGAAGTGAGAAGAGATTTGCAATCTGGGGCAAGCTCATGGGTCAGATGAAAGTGTAAGCTTAGAAGCCCTGCATGGACATCACTTCCTCTTGCACTAGTAGAGAAACTTCATCCACATCACACCAACATGGGCATGCCCATGAATGAGAGTGAGAAGCAGCATCATACATGCCCAAGTGATCCAGATGTCACATTCTGTCAGGAGTCATATAGTATTTCTCACATTTAAGTAGTTTACATTAGTGACACCAAATCCGTGTATGTTGAATATCCTCATACATTGTACCTACCATTCACAATGAATGAATCTCTGTAAGGCTGGAGGTGTGGTGAAAAGGAATCTGACAGAGAATATGTGTGGGACTTAGAGAACTTATTAGATGTAATGCAGTCATCTTAGGCATCAGAATTTACCTTATTCTTGTCTATTAGTTAAGGCCTGCCAGGTCAGCAGAAAGACTCTGAGACAGTCAAGTAAACATAAAGCTGAATGCTAGCCCTCCAATTCTAGCCTAGGAACTAAGTACCAGGACACTAAGAAAGGAAGAAAATGCTGAGAAAATGTCCTAATGTAAAAGATGATGTGACAGCCAGGAGGGTGTGACCATCTCTTGGGAGTAGAAACAAGAAGATACCCTACTGCCTGCTTCACAGCCTTTCCAGATGGCCTTTGTTATTCAGGATGATATACTACAGTTTAATCTTTTGTTTGACTTTGTGCTGAGAGAAAAAAAAATCTCCTGCAAAATCCCTTGGGAACCAGAGAGGGAGTAACACCCTTAAAGTGATACTCATCCATTTCTGTCCACAGACCAAAGACTAGAACATAGCTGCTTATGTGGCATAAAAAAGAAATGGTGGAGAAATGTTGAGGACTCTGTTGGCCCTTGGAGTGACTACTGCTACTGTTGAGAGGGGGGAAAAACCTCTAGGAAATAAACATAGAAATTTCTGGCTAGAAAGGCCAGAAGGGGAGTCTAAGAGCAGAGCTAAATCCTAAGAGGAACAATTTTCAATGTGAGTTTGTGGAAGTGCAGGGTGCTGCCTGGGCTGTGTAGCTGATGAGTAGTATTGGCATAAAACCAACACTTCTGCAGATGCTGCCTTAACATAGGACCATACACTCAGGTGCTCACGAGGACTAATTAGGCAGAGAATAACCTACAGGGAAGCTTTAAGTAAGTAAAAGGACAGCTCCAGCATAGTGGTACCTGAAGTGATGTTGGCTTGGATGAGAAGGAGGTGATGGAGATACAGTCTAGGGAGGCAGCTGCTACTCTACTCTCTCTGCTACTCAGGCTTCTGATTTACTTTTCTGATTTTTAAGAGGTTAATTGTCTTTGGGAATCATTAAATTCCACAAACATGTAAAAATATACAAAAATATAAGGAGGGCATAGAGACTGGCAAAGCATGGTGCCTTCATGCTCCCCATCTTCCTTAAGAAAAAAAGGGAAACGCTTACCTTTGTGGTACCCACAGCTCAGCTCCATTCATTTTACCTCTTTCCCTTCTTATTAATGAATACTATTAGGACTTTTGGGTTTATTGTTTTCTTGTTCTTCTTCACAGCTACACATTTTCTTCCTTGATACACTGTTTTTACTTTCTATCAAGAGTAACCCCACTTACATATTTCTTTAGTAAATGTTGTGTGCCCCTCATACTCTTGAGATTCACGTATCTTATCACATAATCGTAGTCTTCTGTTTCCCCGGTGTTACCATATGTTATGATTTATTTTTATATTGCTCCATTAGACATCTGGTTCCAGGTTCTTGTTTCTATAAATAGG